ATGAGTAAGAAAACCATAGCTTTTAAAGCTTTTAATTTGTAGACATAGTGATTCTGGTTCCTGCCCAACTCAGGTTATTTAATAGTAAATATATAAATATATGAGTTATGTTTCTCTTTCCACCTTCTTCCTGAAGGTAAATGCTTAGAGTGTTGTCTTGGATTATAGAAGACCATTAATATGTAGAAATAAATTCTTCAGCTCTTGCAATTTTATAGGATGCCAAGTCAAGCACAGTCAAGTGTACAATCAAGGCATATTGAGATTTAAATAGTTAAACCCCAGTTTTAAAGTTCATTTTAAAATATTTGTTATTGAATTAGCTAGCTAGTGAATGGTGCTGAAGATTGAACCTACCGTCTTTTTTAAAGACACAGTTTCTCTGTGTAGCCTTGGCTGTTCTGGAAATAGCTCTGTAGAACAGGCTGTCCCCAAACTCAGAGATCTGTCTGCCTCTGCCTCCCTAGTGCTGGGACTAAAGGTGTGGGCCACCACTGCCCGGCTGAGCCTATGGTTTTACATGTGGTGAGTAGACAGTTTACCATAGAATTATATCCAAAACTTAGCTTGAAAACTTAACACATGCAGTTATACTTTGGAGATAATTATCATTGTTGTAGATATTTAATCTTTTGGCCTATAATGTATGTGATATATACCTTGATATGTAAAGAATATCAAGTAAAATCTTATACCCATTGGTAATCTTTGCTGTCATTCTTATAACTAAGGAACCAAAATTTTCTACAGTGCATCAGCAGACTTCTGATTTTTATTGCCTGGTTGGTGTCTTTATTCCTGTATGTAGAGTTTTGGAATTAAGATGCAAGCCTGAGAAGCATAGGTAGTTTGCCAGGGGGTACATACTCTTTCTAAACTGTTCCTTGAACTGACTGGAATTCTAATGAAGGCTTAGAACCATGCTTTTCCTTTGAATTCATGTATATTCTTTGTAGATTTTATCCACGGGTCATTTTCTTCTCTAGTGCCTTTCTCCTTGCCATAATATTATTGGGTTAATTCTGATACTAGCATGACAAAAACCCTCAAAAATGCTCAAATCCAAACCAGGTTTTGTAAAAATTTGGGGTGGGTAACACAGTATATTCATATATTTACTAGTTTTTTTCACCACTAGTTATATCTCCATTTTTGCAAGAACTAGTGTGTGTGTAAACATAAATGATTTCTCAAAGCAGTTTTAAAATATAATGTATTTTAAAACTTATTTTTTAAGTGGGAGGATGAAATCATTAATCACTATTTAATCCAAGTCAAGAGTGATTCCTGGATTCTCATGTTATATGTTGCTCTTCGCTTGGAATAATTAAGAATTGAGTATAGTCTGCAGTGTGTAGAAGGTTTCTCAATGTTGATCACTTTGCCAGTTCAGGCTATAGAAGATGATTTTGTTTGCTCTCATTCAAGTTCATGTCTACTTAAAAATACTTGGATTCCTGTGGCAAACTGAACCCTACATTTCTGCCGTAGAGTTTTGCCCTCTGCAATTGAGAGCCCTAGGTTGTGACACAGCACAGCCAGTTTCTGACCCCAAGCAGGCCTAGGTGTGACTGAGAACTGTGTACTGAGGAGGGAGTCCTAGCAGAGCACACTACAAGAAGATAGACAGAGAGGGACAGCTGCTCTGACAATCCACATCGTCAGAAGGAATAGTAGAAATGAATGACAAGAAGCCAAACCTGAGATTTTGGAGGGCGGGGGTAGTAATACATTGGGGAGCACTTAAAAGTTGAGACCCTGGAGTTTCGTTGTTTGGAAAGTGCCTTCTGATACATTTCCACAAAGAACCTACAGCTGTCTTTCCACAGAGGGTACATGTGAGAAGGCCCCAATAATAATCAAAATGGATGGATGGGTGAATTAGGGACTCCTAGATCCCTCAGAGATACATTTGTAGACCTAGGAGTTACAGTAGCATTGTGTCCTTACAGCTTCCTGTGAGATGAGAGTTGTGAGAATAAACATACCTGTAATCTTCCTTGGGAGGAAAATAGGAAATCATGTATGTAAGGATACTTAACAATGGTTTTTTAGCCTTTCAAAGAGAATCCTTAGCTGAGACAGGAGCGGGGATGTGAGTAGGTGGGCCTGACAGGAGGACAGCCACAGAAGGCAGGATGGGATTGGTTGGCCCAAGCACTGTCTTCTCATCACCCATGGGAGATGTCACCTAAAGCAGAAGAGCAGAGGAATGGCAACACAAATCCATTACTCAGGAAATAGTAGGGAAAACAAACCCCTCACTGAGAGAAAATATTTGCTCCCCCCCCCACCCCCCACCCCGCTTCTTTTTGATTCTTTCCTCTTAAGTGTTTGGTTCCCAGATTGTTGTGACAGTAGGGGCAGATAAAATCCTCATTCATATACAGCTTGGACATCAGCCTAGTTGCCCAGTCCCTAATTAGAGCAACTTCTCCCTCTTTCTGGGAAAGTGTTTTCTCTCTCTCTTCTAAGAGGACACTCATTCCCATTGCCCTCTCTGTTTTTCCTCCCAACATTTAAATGTGAGTCTTCACAGGGCTCTCTCCTGGGTGCCTTTTAAAACCTGCATTGCCTCCCATAGCATGCCCTCCTTCCTGATTAATATCCTTTGCCCTCCTTTGTCCTGTCTCCAAGGTATTCCAGATTCACTATATTTAAAACTGAACTCCCAAATTTGAGCCTTCTCTTTGTCAAGGAATTGTCCCATATTCTGTACAGTATCTTAATCTAGACACCAATGCCTCTCCACACCCCATGGTCCCTTACATGCTTACATGTTCTTGCATCTGTGTTATCTTTCACAGATAATCATAGTGAGATAATGCATAACTTCTTTTCAAAAGCCTCATTGTCACCATGAAGTTAGTGTCTTTACATATATTTTTCTTCTCTTTACTTTCCTTCAACGATATTTTCAGATTAGTTATACTCCACTGTACTACATGGAGACTGTCCCCAGTCATTTTTGTGGCTGCATAATTAATATTCATGGTAAGAATGTTGCAGTTGATGCATGTCAGGGTGAAGAGTATTCCATCCTCTACTTCAGGTAATGTCCTTCTGAGTTCCTATGCATTGTCCCAGGGAAGCAACACTGAGCTCCTGAGCTGTGAAGCCTGAGAAATTTTGTTTCTAAAGGATTGTCTTGCACTGCTCTGCCCTGGCCCTCTACTCTCGGGTTGAGTGGACTTTTATTTCTATGTACTGTGCTTCTTTCTGCCTAAGGCCTCTGCCTCAGTTCTTTTTTTAGTCCCTCATGTGGCCCATCCCTCTTTCTCCCGCCCTTAGTGGACTTCTAATTAGCTTCTAATCTGCTTAAGGCAGAGCTCAGCTCATTGCCATTTCCTGAAGGTATTTTATTCTGGCAACCCATGGTTAACTCAGAGTACGTCTTCCAAAGACTGACCTGAAGGAGCTGTCATCAGTCAGCACTATACATACATATGTCATGTATTTGTATTATTATTATTGCACTGCTTTTTCTCTTACTCAACTGTGCTTTCCAAATAGTATATTGCAATTCAACTATGGTAAAGAATTAGTCTAAAGGATTATAACAAGTCATTCAAAAAATGAAGTAAAAAAACAAGTATCGGGCCACTGCATTTCTGCTAAGGGTGTTTCTTTCCAGTCAGACTTCTCAGTTTAATATATAGTTGTGATCATATAAACACATAGATGAATAAGCTTATTAGGCATAGTATAAGTGGTATTTAGTATTGTAGGTACTAGACTTAAAAACAGGTTTTAAATTAGTTAAGAACGGCAATTCCATGTGTTTTGAATACCCTTTTTATCTCCATGGCTTGCCAAGAGGCAGGCTGACACTGTTAGCACTGTGGATATACTGACTAAAATAACAAACAATAAATGCCACTTTTTAGGATTTGTCCCACTGTGGCACTCTCAGAGTCAAGCAGACCCAGTTTTTAAGGAGACATTAGTGACTCTTTGACCAGTTAATTTTACATTTGATTATTAAATGACAAGTGACATAGAATCATATCTATAAAACTGTCTAGAGGCTCATATGGATATGAGACATCAGAAGTGAAATGTTCTTGTATTTAAAATCTTATTTCTTACAGGTCTTAGGCCTTAAAATGCCATTTTTTATTTTCCTAACAAATAAGGAAGTTTAAAAATTCTAAGTATCTGAGTAACTTTTAAATTTCTAAGGTAGCCTTCAGTCACTGGGTTTATTACATAGCTGTTGTCTTTTCTGTATACTTCAGCAATAAAATATTTATGCAGTTGGCAAGGTAATACTACAACCTGAGTTAGTACAACAGCTGCACTGCCTGCTCCCATGTGTCTTGATTTCCCTTTTTAATCTTTAGTTTTCTGCAAGTAAAGACTTAGGTCAGCATGTTGTTTTTACAGTAGCAGATAATGGTGAAGCTTCTTGAGTTAACACAGGGAAGAGTGAAGTGCTATGCTGAAGTCACTCATTCTGTGTTTTCTGGGTGTCTTTGAGAAATATTTTTCTAGTATATCCTACATAGCTTTTCCAGCATCTTGTATTTACAATAAAAAGCTTTCTTTTTGTTTGTTTGTTGTTCTATTTTTTCGAGACAGGGTTTCTCTGTGGAGCCCTGCCTGTCCTGGAATTAGCTCTGTCGACTAGACTGGCCTTCAACTCCCAAAGATCCACCTGCCTCTGCCTCGAGTGCTGGCAGTAGAGGTGTGTGCCACCACCGCCCAACAACTGAGTTCTTTAGGAAACTTATAAACTTCTCTTTTTAAACAGGAGGCTCTGCCTCTATAAACCGGAAATACCCAACCTCTGCATAGTCTACATTTGACTAAGTACAGGTAAGGAAGGTCTTGGAAATCAAAGGTGATTTGCATTTACTTCAGTCATAAATCGGTATGTACAATTGAAACTGAGATTAACTTTAAAAGTGTCTAGGCAAAACCAGAATCTGTTTATTTCCAAATTTGTTGTCAGAACCTCCATGCGGTTTTAATCCCGCACATGTCCCTTTTCTTTGTAGGTGCTCCTGACCCTACGGCAGGTGCTAGCATCGACGATGAGAACTGCTGGCACTTGGATGAAGAGCAGGTGCAGGAGCAAGTTAAACTGTTCCTTTCCCAGGGAGGGTACCATGGATCCGGGAAGCAACTTAACTTGCTCTTCGCAAAGGTAAGGTTGTCTGTTTGGAAGGGTTCCAAGTATGAGAGAACATATGGTGACTCTGTAAGAATCTGTATGGAATAGGATGGAGATTTTGAGCAAGCAAACCAGTGAAGAACCTGTATTATAATACAAACTTTAACTTGTTTAAGTGACTTTTTGCAGCATGTGGGTGGCATTTTGATAATTTGTTACAGTTTTTTTTAAAAAAAAAAAAAAAACTATTGCCTAGGTGATGGAGGTACACGCCTTTAATCCCAGCACTTGGGAGGCAGAGGCAGGCAGATCTCATGGAGTTTGAGGCCAGCCTGGTCTACAGAGCAAGTTCCAAGATAACCCGGGCTGTTACACAGAAAAACCTTGTCTCGGAAAACAAACAAATCCCCAAACTTCTTTCAATAGTAAAAACAAAGTAAAGGCTTTAATGTTACTTGATGTCCTTAGAAGTGTTTCTTTTTCTAGGTAATTTTCCTAATTTTAGACTAAACATGTCTTTTACACATACATCTTATTAATGTCGATATTTAACGTTACTTACAAAAGTGTGAGTTAGCTTCATAGATGTCAAAGTTCTACTGTCTCTAGTGTATAAAACTAACAACTTTGGGAAATTATTTGTCAGTTTTCTCATCTGTAAAACTAATAGTAGCATATCTCTTCCTGATGTCTTGATAAGACTATTAAATAATGGTGTGCTTATTTCAACTAGTAAAAATCGATGGCCTGAGAAATTCCTGGTATCCTTAACACAAGTTCTTTTGTGATCAGAAGCTTTCCAAAGCATTTGGTACCATGACATCATTTCTAAATACTGGATGAAGTGCTTTTTAAAAATAATCCTGGGGCTAGTGTGATGGCTTGGTGGGTAAAGTGTTCCCTGAGCAAGCATGCAAACCTGAATTTAGATTCCCCAGAGCCCACATAAAAGCTGGGTGTGGTGGAGGCATGCCTGTAATCTGAGCCAATTGGAGAGCTCCAGGTTCAGTTACAGACTTTGTTTTAAAAGAAAGAAAGAAAGAAAGAAAGAAAGAAAGAAAGAAAGAAAGAAAGAAAGGAAGGAAGGAAGGAAGGAAGAAAGAAAAGACAGATGTGGAAAGTGATAAAGGAGTACAAGCTGCATCAGCCTCCGCTCTATGAGCACACGTGCTTGAGAACCTATACATGAACACATATGCACACCCCTCCACATACATGCACACAAACCATTATATTTCCCTTGAAGGTATGGTCATTATTGTAGATAAATGGATTTAAGTTATTTTTAAGGGAATAGTTAACTTTATTAATTGATGCTTTTGTTAAGCTTCTCTAGTATTCACAAAAATTAAAAGTAATGGGTTTATATTTTGTGTGTGTGTTTTTCCAAGCAGGGTTTTTCTGTGAAGCTTTGGAGCCTATCCTGGCACTAGCTCTGTAGACCAGACTGGCCTCAAACTCACAGAGATCTGCCTGCCTTTGCCTCCCAAGTGCTGCGATTAAAGGTGTGTGCCACCAACGCCCGACTGTGTTCATTTATTTTTAATGAAGGAAGTTTAGCATGGATTATGTTATTGAACATAGTTAGAGAGTAATGTATTCTGTTAAAACAATTTATCTTACAGCTGTATGTAGATTATCAGGTTTACAAAAGTTGTGTATATTGCAGTGCATTTAAATGTATAGAGACTTCACACATGGTTTAATTGTTGCATGATACACAGGTACTTTAAATTTGTCATTCTTTAGAGTTAGTGTTCTGGAAATGTATTAACTATAGACAATAGATGTACTTGAGTTTGATTACTAGACATTTTGGGTTTATATCCTTAATAGTTAGGCATTTATTTCATTATTGTTGCTGAGTACTAGCATAGAAATATATCAGTAAAGTAAATCAAATCCATTAGATTTTTTCAGACACAGAGGAAGCATTTCACCTTTTCCATGCTCACAGAGCATATTGTGACCCTGCCAGTCTGCAGTTGTTATTTGTGTTCCTATGTGTTACATATGTATTACATATGCATATGAAGTAATAGCAACACCTATTTTGGAAATGTATAAATATAACATTTTTAGCCTTAAGGCAAATGTGGGTACTGATTCCAGCTGTTACTCTTGTTCCTTAGGCAGTTGCTTAATTTCTCTGAGGCTTGGTTTTAGAATTCATGAAATGAGTGCTATAATCTGGTCTAGTCCACATGCTGTTTGGAAATGGAGTGGTGAGCATAGATACTTGTCAAACTCTTGAGCACAATGTCCATCAAATGACAACTCCCTTTCCTCCTGACACCACCGCTTGGTGACTTTGGGTCGCTTTCTGATTTGGGTTCAGGGAAAAGTGCTTGTAGGTTCTCAACAAGGCCTGGGGGAATTCAGGGCTTGTCTTGGCGCAAGCCTGAGGTGGAGGGTCTGTGGTCTTTGGAGTGAGTACAGCATTGCAGGTGAGCCTCTTTTTTTTTTTTTTTTTTTTTTTTTTTTTTTTTTTTTTTTTATGCCTTGCCTTTCATGTCAAATCCTGAAAAAATAATCCCCCTCCCAACCTACAGGACCCTGCTCCAGTAATTTATCACAGGGACAACTGTCGGTAAGTTAGGGCTCTCATTTGTGTAGTAAGCATCATACACTTTGAAGTTCTATGTGTTCATTTATGGTTTCCTGCAGACGGATTAACCCCTGTGTTTCTCTTTCCTAATTCGGGAAGTGCAGCACAGAGAAATGAGTGGACAGTTCACAACTTGAACTTGAATGTCCAAGTTTAGTTATTAAGTCAGAGGCTGATTTTTGTTGTTTGTTTCGGTGCTTTGTGGAGTCTTAATAGAGTGAGCACTCTTAAACCTCCAAGCTCTGTCCAGCACATCTTACCACTGCAAAGCCTTCTACTTTGCATGAGTGTGCACAGTCCTTTGGATCCACAGGTTCTTGCATGGACAGAGAAACCATCCAGGGATCGAAATGTAGTTTAGTCTGCAAATATGTTTGCATTTGATAGAACACTACAGATTTTTCCTTTTTGTCACCCTTGGGTGATAACATGGCAACAAGTATTAACATAGCATATTGTGTACTAATAACACTATACTGTGTTGTATTGTATCATAAGTTAATTTAGAGGTGCTCTGAAGTGTTCTTGTAGGGTAGATGTATTAGAATTTGGGCAGCTGAAGATTTTAGTGTTTTCATGAGGTTCTGGAACCCATGGTTCCTTGCAGATGACTGTATGCTGCTACTCTCATGTAAAATAATTGAGCAAGAAAGCTTCTGTATTCCAGCAAAGGTGTGCCATCACTCTTGTTCATGGGAAGGAACACCACCTTGCTAAAACCAATTTTCATCAATTTGTCAGGTTCGGGTGCCTTTTTCTGTACACTTCTGTGGTTTGTTGAAGTATGAATTAGCTAGTCACTATTTTTTTGTTTGTTGTTGAGTATAGTTTGACCACTAGATAAAAGGCAATTGTTGAGGGAAACCTTCCAAACTTAGTCCAGGTGTGATGTTTCATTCCTGTAATCACAGCAGTCAAGAGGCTGAGGCAGGAGGATCATGAGTTAGAGGTGAGATTGAGCTATCGAAAGACCCTATTTCATAAGCGTTCTCTTGCTCTCTCTTTCTCTTTCTTTCTCCTCCCTCTCTCTCTGTCCCCCCCTACACACACACACACACACACACACACACACACACACACGGCATTTTTACCCTCTGTGAAACATGGCATAATCATCTTTATCAAATGCGAAAAACATACCAAAACATTTGAAATTGAAAAGTTGGAAAACTTCATTACTGCCTGTGGCTTCTAAAGCATAGTTTATAATAATTGATGGTGCCTTTTTCTCATTACATTGCAGTTCAGGATGCAGAATGGTTTTTCATACTTTTGTATTCTTTAGAGGACTGATGTGAAGGCTTCTCTGTCATACACACATACAAATACACACCCAAGGAATAAAAGTAAGTTGTTTGTCTCTTGTGTTGCTGTTATTTATTTACTTATAAACTTTAACGTTTTTGTTTTGTCTTCCCCACTAGGTGCGGGAAATGTTGAAGATGAGAGACTCCAATGGGGCCCGTATGTTGACCTTGATCACAGAGCAGTTCATGGCTGACCCCCGCCTGTCACTTTGGAGACAGCAAGGCACTGCGATGACTGACAAATATAGGCAGCTCTGGGATGAGCTTGGTAAATGAGTTTCCTGTCAAACTACATTGAGCTGTGTATAGATAAGACCACAGGTGGATATTTAAGAACATGGTCCTAGTGTGCAGGAGAGAGATACTCCATCAAGCCTATGTCAGTGTGCTTTGGGCAGATGTGTAGGAAGAATAAGAACTCAGTGTTTGGAGAAAGCAGCTGAGCACAGCCTGGGAGAGCCAGCTCTGCGGAGAGGGCACACAGGAATCTCCCTTTAAATACTTGGTATTATTAGAACAAACGGTGTATATTGTAGGATCAGTTACTATTCCATCCCAGTTTCTGAGTCTGCCTTTTTTTTTCCCTCATTGGAATTCTCAAAAGTGATTTGGATACTCACTATATTTTCAGCTGTTGCAGACCTAGGTCAACCATTGTTCTTGAGAATGTTTCCACATGGCAAACTCTAAAATTTGTTACCCAAAATCTCTGGTTATTAAAGATGCAAATATAGTAGGTAGCTGGGGAAAAAAAGACACTTCTTGTCATTCAGCATGAAAATACTGGGAATGAGTCTCCTTACCCAATGCTCATAACTACAGAAATAAAGCAATACATTTGTTATCTTGTCTTTCTATTAAGAAATGTATAGGGTACCAAACATTGTATCTCCATTAGTTTAAAAAGAGGTAAATGCTTCCTGCATATGTAGTGTCAGAAAAATTCCTGATGACTGGTGATGAACCACTCACTACTTGATGCATTTTGATCCCAGGCCTAGACTACCTCAAGAGGGACATTTGTCTAGGAAGGTCCTGCATCATCATAATGGAAGGCACTTTTGAGATGAACTATTTGGAGACGAGGAACCTGAACCCCAGGGAGGAGATTTCTTTAAGTTAGTGAAATGGAATAATTAGGATTACACAATGAGCTACTAAAAAATTGACTCCAGAGTTTCTTGCTTGTTCAGGAACTTGACTGTAGGTAGAAATTCTGGTTGGTTTGTTTCTATAGAACTATGGCTGCTATTGTCAGATGTTAAGATGTTTCTATTAATGTTTTTCTCTAGTCTAATTTTTTAAAAATAGTATCCTGCATCTGGGACTTTCCTTGGTTTTCCTGAAATATCAATAGTAGCTTTCTCCCATTCAAATTTAAATCAATCTATAAAAACAGTAAATGTGTTGCAGTGAAGTCTGGGACACATGGTGTGGTATTGAAGAACATACATGGTTTAAGTAAATATTTTTGCAGAAAACAGATTTAGTTTTCCATATATAAAACTTTTTTAGGTTATGACTTCATAGTACAAGATGAATTTACTAGTTGGTTTGTAAAGGTTAAAAAGCACTAGCATTAAAAACCAATAATGGAGCACTGGAGTGATGGCTCAGCAGCTAAGAGCATTCACTGCCTTTCCCGAGAGGACCTGGGTTCAATTCCCAACACTCACATGTCAGCTAACAACTATCTGTAACTCCAAGATATGGCACCCTCTCATAGACATACATGCAGGCAAAACACCAATGCATGCAAAATAAAAAAAAAAATTAAAAAAGCAACGGAGGGGATAATATAGGGAAAAATATTGGGTTACTAGTAAATGTATAAAAATGTTAAGCTATGGTGCTTAGAAATGTGAAAGTACTATTTGTACTGGGTAGAAAGAAAATGCCACTTGAATATTTTGGTTACCAAAAAAGAAAAAATGCAAAGAATATTGTTGAACAAACTTTACAGTGTTCATATTTAATCTGTAGTCAGATCTTAGCTTTCCAAATTGGCTTTGAAAAATGTGTGTCAAGACTTCAGTCGGAAATAGAAGTTCTCATTGGGTGGAAAATTTGGGCAGCTGACCCTAGTTACATTCTCAGACAGGACTGTTTAATTAGGACCCAGGTTTGAGTCAGGTTGTTTGATTTCAGACCAGGATCAAGAATACACGTGCACAAAACATACTCATACTTGTACAGGTACCCACACTCGATGCCACACCTTCCTCCCCACTCCCCCCTCTGCCTTTCTTCTTTCTTACGTTACGCCTCCCCACCTTGAAATCATTACTAGACTAGTGAAATTCGTTTGTGTGCTCTGATGCCAAGTAGAGCTCACTTGCCATTGTAATGGGATCTAAGTTTTGTGAGGACTCCCCTATAGAAGTCATAGTAGCTATCACATCTTAATATTTGTTCACCAAAAAAATAACTTAAAGTTCCTTCTTGACTACAAAAGGAAAGTCTTTTGCTTCTTAATAAAATGGGGGAATTTGACTTTGTGCCCCTACCCAGGGCTCACATTGCTTCAAGGCTGTGCTCTGGAATTAAATGCTGAGCACTGCCAGATGCCAGACATTGAGAAGAGGCTGAGTTTTGTGGGCAAATGGGATCTGCAAGTTAATTGGTGTTTTCTGCAGGCTTCTGGCTGTGAAATGAAATTGGAAGCCCTTTAGCCACATGGATAATACAGGACCTGAATACAAATGTCACATGTCACCATCAGGACCCACTGTGAGACAATAGTGTTCCCACTCCAACATTGCACCATTACAGATCATTTAAATATGGGGATTACATTTAAACTAAAAGCCCCATTTGCCTTTTACTGCAATTTAAATGTCCTCTTAGCAAAAGCTAAGTGACAAATTAAATGAAAAAAGTGCCCACATTTTTAAAGCTGTAATGCAAAACAACCTTTTATTGCTTCTCATGTGCCACGAATGAATCATTATACTTGTCAACCCTAAACCAAGCCATAATTGGAGCAGCTCCTGTTATCAGAGTGGGGCCGCTCCGTGACAGCTTAATAAAGCCGAAACTGTTAAATTAAATCCCAGATGCTTAACTCCTTAGCACCAGTGGATGCGATGGGTCCATCTCTGGCCGTGGCCAATACACCAGGAGAGGAAAAAAGATTGCTGGCATGGATGCTTCCGTGTGATAAGTGCACAAGTATCATAGCCAAGTAACTCTTCTTCTTGGCAAAGGATTTGGAGCCATCAGATTGTCAGCCAGAAGATGACAGAATCGTTTTCCTAGGACCAGATAGCCCCCTTCCCAAGATTTGTAACTTTCTGGTTATATGTGATTTATGAAACTTCACACTGTTGATGCTTCAAAAATAGTTGAAAACAGCACATTCATTTTCTAAACTCTTCCTTTTCACATAAATATGTGCAAAGTTGTTTTGGGCAGCCCATTTCTTCCCCCCATTCTCCAGCTAACTAAGAGGCTAGTTTTCCCCAGGACTTCCCAATATAAGTACCTGTGATCCTCGTGTGGTCTGAGCTAATTTTTGTGATTTACTCCCTGATTTTCGTAATGTAGGATCAAATAGATACGGATGCATACCATTAAGACCTTGCTTATTGCACCTCATTCACAGATGCATTTATCTTGTGCATGAGTCTAGTTTTTTGTGTTTTTTTTTCAGATAATTTTACTCTCTGTGTGTGATGTTCATTTTCCTGAACACATGGCATAGCTCTGAAGATGAGTAATTTGGAATCATAATCAGCTATGGGGAAAAGTCTGTATTGCAATCTTAAGACAGAAAAGCAAGCTCTGTGGCAATAGTGGAGAGGCCGCCTATTTGATCAAGGCCGTGCATTTGGTAGTCAGTCAAACACATGCTTCTAGTGTTTCACTCTTTATTAGTGACACACATATTTTCTGGGAAGCAGGTTCTAGAAAGTCTTGTGGACCAAAAGAACAACCCAGTGCTGACTTGTGGCAAGCACACCTACTGTTAGCCCTAATGGCTGCCGGGTCACCCCGCTTAATTACCTTGCACCTCTTTAGGGGAGATGGGAGAGTGTATAACCTCTCATAGGCTTTGGTGGGTCTCTTTCCTTAAGTGTTTTATAAGACTAATTTTACTTGGCAACATAAAGTTATAGGTTGTGGCTGCCAGTCTATTAACACCTAATTAAAATGGATGTCATTAGAGGAAACAGTTAAATGCAGCTTAATTACAGTTTTTGTCACATGGAAAATTCTTAACTTTTCCAGTGTTGTAAGTCTTTCCCCCACATTTGAAGCAGCTTTCTCTTGGAGGCAAATCATGAGCTTTGCTGTCCAGTATGTGAGCCCTCCTCATAGGAGGAAGATGAGCTATGAGGGCAGAACAAACAGTACTGAGTTTGTTCATGTATTCTTGAGAACAAGGTGGTGGCTCTTGTAATTCTTTTCACATCTTCTCATCTGGGGACTGACTTCTTTGTGAGCAGAAGCTGGCAAAGTCAAGCATTCCTTTCTAATTCTAATTTTATTTGAAGCATAAAGCAGCAACTGTCATGTTCCAGGGTCAGGTGTGAGGCTGAGTGGTAGTCTATAGACCCAGGGCCTTGGAATGAGGGTAAACTTTTATTCACCAGTAGAGAATGCAACCCACCAGTTAGAGTCACATTTATAGAAAAATACTAAAAATGACCTGCTCCCTGGGCCCAGAAAGCTTTCTCATCTGCAGCCCAGACACAAATAACAATTCTGCACCTACCCTGTTATCCTGAAGTCACACATTCAGAATAACCCTTTTAATTTAGAATGCTCTTTGTTCACAGCCAGAAATAAAAACCTAAATGTTCCTGTTCTGGGGAATGCCATCTTACATATCTGAACGCAGCAGGCTTAATAACTGCCACCCTTAGTTTCCATGGTAAATTCAGGTTGAGAATGGTTATGAAACCATTAATGAGATGGTTAAGAAACCATCAAGGAGTCACTGCTTCATGCAAAACTAGAAAGCCTTAACAAAATGACTTGTTGTTACAGGGTTACTTTGTTATAGGGTCATGGAGCAAACCACAGTCCCCAGAAAGCCCTTGCAGCAGAAAGATGTCAGTGCAGACTGGGACACCTCTGTACAGGTGTTAGAGTAGACTTCAGGTCTAATGAACTGCTCATCAGGGCTTTCTTGTCATCTTATCAGTCTGTCTTCCCCTGGGCTCAAGAAGGATACAGCTTTACCGCTACATATGCTGCTGGTGCCTCCTTCTCCTCCTTTTCCAGAAGTTTTATTTCTGTTGGCACAAAGCCGTATATCCAGAA